TAGCCGGGTGCCCCCAGCTTCCTCTGCTCTGCCCATCTCTGCGCGGGCTGGCCTTTCCGGGGGGGAAAAAGAGGCTGGGGGGGGGGGACGAGTCTTTGATAGCCCCGAGGAGAGGACGAGGGCTGGGTGGAAGGGGGTAGCTATACCGGGGGAGGGAGACGAAGCAAAACTCCTAAGGAGGAATCCTGCCCGGGAGGATGTTCCTCCGGGGAACTGCAGCTAGGCCACATCCAAAGGCGCTCTGGTTTTCCACCACTTCGCAAGAAATTCCCGTGCTGAATCTTGACGTCGAAAATGGGACGACAGGGGGTATCCAAACAAGTTTTTCTCATCCATCACCATCAGTAGGCCACGCGAATCCACTCTTGTGGAACTCACTGCCACAAGGTGCAGCAGCAGCAGCAGCAGCAGCGCACAAGGTTGGGCGAACTGGAGTGCAGGTACCGTAGTGGCATCTAAGGACGACGGCACTTTCCTCTCCAAATTACACTCGGCAGAGGAAATACAGACGGCGGGGGGTGGGGTGGGGTGGAGGTGCGGTGGGGTAGGCTTCCCGGCATTGTCCGGACGGCATTCCAGCAGCCTTGACAGACTGGGGACGGGATCGCGCATTCTTCTGAGCGCAGCCCTGTTCAGGGCGATCCTTCCGCCCTCCCACATCCTTTCGGGTCACTCTGCCAAGCAGCAGCGGAAGGGCCATCGGCAGAAACAGCCCTAGTGCAGAGAGGGCTTTGGGAGTGGCAGTCATCTCTTGAGATCCCGCCCTGGGGGACCGGACGTGCCCCCTCCCAGACAGGAACGTGCCGGGGGGAGGCGAGAGTGGAGCTGAGAATTGGGGAGGCCACCGGCGAAGCCACGTGGCCTCGCTTGCTGTCCCTTCGCTCCGGCGGGAGAGCCATGAAAACGAATTTCGCTGCGTGAGCCTTCCTCGGGACGGACGTCTCCTGGGCAGTTGTGTCGCCTAGGCTCAGCTTTTGAATGTATACAGTATCCCATTAATGGGGAGCGCGAAGCGGGGCAGCGGGTAGGGCTGGGGCGAAACTTTTGCTTTGAAAGCGGGGGCGGAGCTCGCTCATCCACTGGGATAGCTCTCCAAAAGGTAAAGTCCCTATTGTCTGACTCAGCAAAATTGCCCTGTAAACTGTGACCGTCTGCTCCCTTTCTTTCTCATTGCTGAAGTGCTGAAGGCTCAGGACTGGGGACAGGCTCCAGAGGTAGAAGAAGCTCTAAATCGCTGGTGGGAACCAGCCTTTCAGGAGATGGAAAGGTGCATTTCCAAATCGGAGGGGACTCTGGACCGGAGCCCCCCCCCCCGAGTCTGGGGGGAGAGGACCAGCAATCAAACATTAAGGGTTCAGCCTATTTGTACCCCCAAATGAGGGTTGCACAATGAGGTTATCAGGCTGAAGGTTGAAAGGCTCACAACAACAGACAAGTAATTGCAACAATTCCCCAGTACACAACAAAATGAGATTGTGGCATAATGTGATATAATGGTATAATGCAGTAGAGGGGCCATTTTATGGCCTCCTTAATGGTTGACTAATAGAAAACCTGAACCTCTGCATCTAGAATCATTCTCTCTCTTGGAGATGCCCGTGTCCAGGAGGCCTTCTCGCTGGATAAGTGAGTGCCCCCTGTGGTTTTACTAGAAGATCCACAACTCCTTAAAAGACCTACAAGTAGAAGTTACTTTAAACTGAAAAGAGCTAGCTGCCACCCGGCCCACTCTGAACTGAAAAACTGTGTGCAGTAGCAGAATTGTTAAGTACTCAAACCTTTAGTACCAAAGGGCTGCCTGGTTACCCAGAGAGATCTTCTTCATCTCAGCAGCCTACTTTAGACTAACTTTTTTTGCTTTTGTTACTTGGGGTATGTTAAATGGTCAGGAGTAGGAAACCCTTGAAATCACCCACTCAGAGATCTACCAGTGGTTTCTGATCTTTTTCTAATGCCTGCGCTATTGAAACATCCTTCTCCAATCAGATTCACTCCATATGCATTGGATTACAGCTCCCATAACCCTCAACCAGCATACACTTTGATTTTCCTGGAGGACAGTAAATGGAATAATAGAAATGGTGGCCAGACACCAATGGAAGCAGAATGCACTGCAGTGCAATTTCCTCCAGAAATATCGGGTTGAGGGCAGTCTCATTCCTTCTGTAATCCCAACGCCCTTCCGATTTGTTGGACAACGGCTCCCATCCTTAAAGGGGCTGGTAGGAGTAGTAGATCAATGCATCTGGTGGGCTTCTATGGTTGGAGAAGACAGCTTTACCACTTCAAATGGAGACACATTCATCACACTTGGAAGCTGGTCCAGAAAACAGTAATCTTGGCTCCATTAGTGCTCCAGCAGAGAAAAACAAAAGCAAAGGTTTGCCAGCTAGGAAAATAAACTTGCGCAGGCAAATGAAGGCTGGGGTGGGGTGGGGTGGGGTGGGGAGGACCGATTACAGGTCCATTTGATCACGCCTTCATTCAATCTTGATTTTCTCCTGTTTATTTATTTATTTATTTATTTATTTATTTATTGCCTACTTCGTTGTTCTGTTTTTAATAGCAAACATCATCAAGGATAAGAGGTGTTCAGAAACAGCATGACTGACACATGGAGAACTCCAAAGGATGACATTCAGGCACAGAGATGCCTTGCACAAGACAATTACACTTACCCAGAAAACAAATTCAAACTTGCTACAAACCCATATTATTCCAGTCTGGAATGCCTGGAATAAAGAGTGATTCAGAGAATCTTCCAACTTCCACATGTCCACAAACACGTTAAAACATGTTCCAGGCTGGATTTTTCTATCATAACGTCTGCACCCACTTTATTGGAAGTAAGCCTTTTGATGGTAATCAGGTTTATTCCTGACTGCTCTGTACAGTATTATAGCCTTCTTCCTAGTCAGTTATGACTTTGTGAACAGGAATGATTCACATGGAGAAAATGCAGGCAATATTAGGTATTTTTTCAGTCAGATCATAAGCAGAGTGTTTAGTGTGTTGTCTGAATTACCTACGAATTTAGAATCACAGCCTGATTTATCAATTCCAATAAAATTGACTAACAGTGCTCCACTGGAATTATATTGTGGTGTCAGTTTGTTTTCGATTTTTATTCCCTGCTCCATACAAGGTGTCAGAATGATGCAGACCAGAAGTATTACTATTCTGATATATATTGGGTTCCGCTGCCTACCCTATTGGCTGTCATTCCCCTTCAACAGGGCAATTCCATGGAAAACTACTTAGAAGTCTAGCTGAGCTTTTTTTTTCCACACTAGGAAAATGGATAGATAATTGCATCTTAAATCTAATATTTGGAAGGGGACAAAGATTATCGCTTGATGAAGAATTCTTGGATCCCCAAAAATCTGTCCATTAACATTTAAACCTTCTGATGCACTAATAAAAATAATCTCTTAACATGGACATTGCTTTTATCTCCCTCTTTTCAGAGTGAACATGGTGGCTTTTGCCTTTCCTCAGGTTTACAAACTTCTTGCAGTCCAAATTTTAATTCCTTCTTCTTCCTTATGGCTGGAAGAGGAAAATTCCAGGCTCAGATTAGAAATAATAAGAAATGTGGAGCTGATGAACTGAAGTTCTGTCTTCCCCACCTAACACTTAAGACAACAGAGTTTCATTGAGACTAAGGATAAAGCCTCAACCTGCAGTGAAAAACTTGGAGGAGTTATCTTGACTGAAGTACAGATCTGGTGGAAAGCTCTCCCGCACAAGACCAAAATAAATTAAAAAGACAAATCTGTAAAATATATTGGTTATCAATTCAAGATATTTAAAATATCCCCCTTCCCCCCCCCTCCTGGTTTGGCTTATAAAGTAATGAAATTAGATTGTCCTGAAATCCAACCATCTTTATCTGATGTAGATTGCTTTTGGAGATAAGGGAGAGGGTCCAAGAAAATAAAACAAGGACTATACAGTATTTAATTACTGCAGGTTAGAAAACCCTCTCTCGTCTTTTATTTACACAGTGTTGCAGGGCTTACTGGAGCAACTTCGAAACCTCTTAGGTGGCGATCACAGCCTTACTTCTCTGGGAAGAAGACCCGCTTAACGCGATTGGAGGCAGCGGCTATTAAAAAGCCTCCCCACAAGGAAAGACGCTGCCTGACTCCCGAAGAAAGCGCGCTTCGGTGGGAAGCAGCACGCATGACGCCCACCATGCCAGGCCTCCCTATCCGCCGTTCAGCTTTTGGTTGTCGAAGGCCCTTCCAGCGGCGAGGCAGAGGCCGAAATCGCCCAGCGCGGCCTTCGAGGAGCGGCAGGAAGCAGCATTTCTGGCGATTCCACCGCGAGGAGAACCGATGGGGGGG